AGTGGCATGCTCATGGCCACTGCAGCCCCTGTCTGCTGGGCTCAGGCGATCCTTCTGCCTCAGCCTTCCAGGTTGCTGGAACTATAGGACCATAACCGGCTAATTTTTTTAAAATTTATTTGTTGTAGAGACAAGGTCTCACCAAGTTGCCCAGGCTGGTCTTGAATCCTGGGCTCAGGCAGCCCTCTCACCGCCGCCTCCCAAAGTGCTGGAATTGCAGGCTTGAGCCAAAATGCCCGGTCTCTTTTTTTTTTTTTAAGTGAAAAGCTGAAAAAAAACCACCACTGAGCAGCAGAGAGACTGCCAGGCAGAAGAGGCTTTGGACTGGGTGTCAGCACAGTGAAAGTGCAGACCGGGCCTAGCTGGGTGCTGGTGGCCAGAAGCAGGAGGCTGCAGGGTGAGGATGGGGAACAGGTGCCAACTCTCTTTATCCAGCATCGGGTCAGGGGCTGGAGTGGCCCGAAGGACCCCAGATGTGATACTAACGTGGTGTCGTAGAAACAGACACACTTCTAGGAGGCCCAAGTGTCCCCCGTTGACCGTGGGACACTTGGAGGTCCTGCTTTAATGAGACACGATCAGCCAGTGGGACCACGAGGGCACGTGGAACAAATGTCCCTTGGGATGTGCACGGCCCCCGCAACCTCATTTTCTGCCATTTGTTTGCCTGACAGTCTCGGCAGAGATGTGGCCAGATGTACCTACCAGCACCCACACGGTCATGTGGGTTCCGATTCGTGCCCATCCATCCTCTGAGCTGCCGCACCGTCTGTGCCTCTTAGATTAGTTGCTTCCAAGGAACGATGTTTTTCTACCAGCGCAGCCGCCGTCTTTGAACCAGACTTGAAAAGAGACGTTCAAAGGCAGCCTGGCCTCCCGACACATTTTCCAAAGTGCTTTCCTAGGGGAGCCGTCCCCCGCCTCCCACCTGCTCCCAGGCCTGCTTCTGAAGCCCCGGCTCAAAGGCAGTGGCTTGTGGGACCCTGTGGCGGCAGGGGCGGAGGGTGGCCTGGGAGCACAGCCGCCTTCCTGATAACGGATTGAGCCTAGTTGTTAAAAGGAGTTTCCAGCAGATGAGCTAGTTCCAGTTGGTGGCTTGTGACCTGTCCCCATGGTTAAAGTCAAACGTCTTGACTTTTTTTTTTTTCCCTTTTTTGGAACTGATGTTTGGAGCTTGTTTGAGTTGGATCAAATGCTGTTTTAACAGCTGTTCTAATCGGAAATGCTGTCAATTATTAACCCTGACGGTGGCTTTTCTTTCAAAAATGTTTCTCCAAGCTCTCTCAAAATGTCAGAATCTGGCTTTTTGGTAGGAAGTCGTTTAGTGAACTTGCTTGTTCTGGGCATCCATTTCCCCATCTGAAAAACTGAGACGTTTTTAAGGTCCCTTCCTATGGGAATTTTGTGAATTCACACATGTAAAATGCTTGCAAGGGTTAGGCCAGTGGATATCAACTACTATTACTGTCGATTTATTTTTAAGGTCGAGACAGGGTCTCGCTGTGTTGCCCAGAATGGTCTTGAACTCCTGGCCTCCACTGATCCTCCTACCTCAGCTTCACCATCGTGTCTGCCCCACCCCCCTTGAGTAGAACTGTTCAGCTGACTTCCTGCTTTCAGGAACTTCCCCTCACCCAACCAATCACCACCCTCAAAAAATAAACATTATAGAAAATTGTTGCCAGGCACGGTGGCTTACACTGGTAATCCCAGCACTTTGGGAGGTGGAAGCAAGGGGATTGCCTGAGCCCAGGGGTTTGAGACCAGACTGGGCAGCTTGGTAAGACCTCATCTCTACAATACATCAAAAAATTAGCTGGGCATGGTGGTGCTTGGAAGGCTGAGGCAAGAGGATCGTCTCCGACTGAAAAAAAAAAAAAAATTGTGGGGTGGCAGTTTTTTGTCCATTCTCGGACTCAACCAGAGTGTGCAAGCGAGCCCACCCTCAGGGTCAGGCAATCTGTGTGGGGACAGGGAAAGCTCGGTCCTGCTTCTGCATTTTGTGGGGACTAAGTGGGACTAGCAGATGATGGCAGAGTCGCAGCTGGGGGGGACGGGATTGCATGCCTCCTTCCTGCCAGAGAAAACCCAGGCTCCAAGGTCGAGGAGCCCTGGTGTATTATAAAGTCCCTAAGTCAGCCCCGCCCCACCCTCTGCCTGCCCCAAGCCTGCACTGCCCTGACTCATGATGTGCCAAAGTCCTTCTGCCGCGCAGAGACGCCTCTCCCTATCAAGTTTGGGCCCTGGGAAAGTAACTGGACTCCGGAAACCCATGCTTCTGGAAGGTTCTGTGTCCATGCAGGGATGTTCTGAGGGTCCTCAGTGGGTGTTTGCTTGTGGTGTTGGGGGAGCAGTGAAGGAGACAGGACCAGCTTGCAGGGGGTGGAAGGGGATAGATAGGGAACTGACCCCAAGCTGCCGTGCTCACCTGGCGGCCTGGTTGCTGAGCCTGGGAGGGGCCATGGCCACCCATGTACATCCTGGCAGGTCCCTTTTTCCTCACAGTCGGGGTGCTGGGTCTCACACTGGGCTCTGCCAAGGACCCCCACCCCACCCCACCCCACCTGTGGAGTCCTGCTGGAGGTTGTGGGGAGGGGGAAGGTCATTTTCTCATCCACGACTGAGCCCCTCACCCTTGACCTTTTTGCTCACAGAAGTAGGCCACAGCAGAGGCCTTTTATAATCACCCTGCCTCCCAGAGATGCTGAGAGTTCAGAGTCCTCCTGGAGGCCACTCTGACATGGAGTGTCAGAGCCCGCCCCTGCCTTCCTGGCCCAGGGGAGGGGACATGCTGGAGACCCACGTAGGTGGCTTGGGTGGTCTGGCTCCCCTGTTGGTGAAGGACTCAGGCCAGCATGCACCCCGCTGCCCAGTTGTATGTCAGCACCCGTCCACTGCAGGCCCTCCCCTGGATGCTGCTCTGCTGGGCAGGCCCAGGGCCGTGGCCAGAGCTCCCTGCAGTAGGAACTCTGAGAAAATCAATATGGAGATGCTGGCGTTTCTTTGGGCCAAACGCTTATTGGGCATCTACTGTGTGCCAGGCACTGCTGTACGGGCCACTTGAGCTAAAAGACTTTGGGCCCGTGGGCTTCTAATTATGAAGGTTGGTTTATTTAGTTTGTTTTTTGTTCTCAGTGTCTTTTTCTATTCTTACTTGGCACATAAACCATGTGACGGGAGTGACTTGCTGGTCCGGGCAGGCTTGGATTGAAGTGCAGTTTGGCTGATGGTTTCTAGAATGCCTACCCTGAACAGCCCTGGCTTCTGGGCTTTATTCCTCTTCCTGGCCGTCAGTCGATGGAAGGGGGGACACACCCTGTTTTGGAGACCACTTCCCACTTGTCTAGATTAGCAGTGCATTATGGTAGTTACCTAGTAACCCTCCCAGGATCTGCACATAAGGATGGATGGTTGCATCTCGGCATTTATTCCTGGGGGGAGGCTGGGGCTGCCCTTGAAAACCCTGCAGGGCACAGAACAGCTTTGCACAGCACAAGGAACTGCTGAGGGCCAGGGCATGGTTAGTGAGATGCCCTAACAGGGACAGGATTCTTGCTGGAGTGAACCACACACGGGCAAATGGGAGCCCCAGCAGATCCGAGCTGGGGGGGGGTGACACCCCCTTCCCCAGGGAGTTTGGAAGTGGGGCCCAGGCATCGAGGGATAGTCCTTCCCAGCAAGGACTGTTCACCCAGATGCTTGCAGTGGCTCTGTCCTGGGGCCCTGGGCTGTTCTAGGCAGAAGGCTGACAGCAGCAAGCCCTGGTCCCCACCCACCTCTCCCCTTCAGGGGACAACCCCTCTGGGTGGCAGGGCCTGCACTGTGGCTGCCAGCCTGAGAGCCAGCCTGAGATGCAGGCTCGCAAAATCCAGTGGGATCTTGGAGCCAGGGCCTGTCTCCTCACTCACCAGAGTTGCCCCCCTGCGGGGCCGGGGGTGGAGGGCCCATGGAGGGGGCAGCCCCAGGGGGTTCTCCCAGGGTCCAGGGTTTGTTTGTACATCCCGGAGGGCATTGCTTTTGTTTCAAGTGCAACGATTTCTCATCCTAATCACTTGCCGGATGAGATCGGCAAGGGCTGTTGAATGACGGCTGTGACAGCCGAGGAACGCTTTGAAGCCAGCACTGGGACGTAGGTCCCGGTGGGCTTGGGGTTCAGGAGATGAGAAAAACAGTTCTGAGAGCTGTCTGTCCGTGGTTCTAGACCTTTCTGTCTGGACTCAGTCTACCTTTTTGCCCCACTCCTGGTCTGAGACCTGGGGCTCCCAAACAAGATGTTGATGGAAACAAGTCGACGCTTTTTGAAATGTGGTCTATTTGGGGTGTTGGGGGGATAGAGAATAGAGCTGCCTTTCTGGAGTCTGTCTTTGTGAGGGTTAGGGAGCTAACAGGCTGCTACTCTGAGCGGCTTCTTGAATGAGGCCATGCCGTCTAGGCCCTGGAAAATGAAGTGCTCGTGGTGGGGCTTCAGGCTGGCGGCATATATGGGGGAGGAACCGGTCTTGGTGGGGGGGCACCCACCCATCCTGCGGCCCAGGGCTTCCCTAGTGATCCCTGTGCCCTTCCCAGGGTATCTGAGAGCCTGTGTCCTGCCATTGCACACTGGCGACCGAGTGGCTCCCCCCTCCCTAAACTGTGGTTCGCTGTGTCAGGGGCTTTGCTGGGATGTGGGGAAGGTTTTTGACTGGATTTGGTTCCATTGGATATTCCTCCCAGAGGCTGCAAACTGTGTTCCGAGCCCAACCTGGAGACCATCGCTGATAAGGGATGTTGGGACTCCCCAGATGTGGGCAGCTGGTTGCCAGAGTTGTGGTCCTTGAGAGAGATTTTGTCATGCTGTGGGTGTAGCTGGAGCCTCCTGGCAGGAGGTGGGCCGAGGGTGGGGGACGTGGAGCCCCAGAGTGGGACCTGCGGTCTGGGGAGGTCGGTACTTCCACTCACCTGGGACGTTTCGGTGACTTGACGGACTTGCCCGAGCCTCATGGGTGCCTTTGCTTTTGCAGACAGAGATTGCGAAGAGACTGAATACCATTCTAGCGCAGATCATGCCGTTCCTGTCTCAAGAGGTAAGACCCTCTTTACTCGTTTCTTTTCGTTCTACATCAGCGGCTGTTGGGGTCTCAGGGAGCTCAGCCCAGCCCGACCCGGCCAAGGACCTGAGGATGAACAGAATCTTCTCTAGGTGGCGTGGGCCAGAGGTGTCATCCCAGGGACCGTTTACTCCTTCTACTGGTGCACGTGGTTCTCCGCCACTGTTCGAGTCTGTCTAGGAGCTAAGGCAGGCTGGCCAGGCATTGCCACGAACCAGATCTGTGAGGTCCCAGGCACACAGAGCACCCTTGCTGGGGGCATGACCAGGCGGTCACATTGCCTTCTAAGAATACCTTCCAAGGGACCCCCGCTTGGGACAGAGTTGGGCTAGTGGGCACTTGGAAGGAAGTGTCACGTGGGTACAGGGCAGACAAGTGGCCGGCCTTAGTGGGCTCCGTTTCTGTCTCCCCAGTTTCCTCCAGCAGGGCAGGCCCTGTCCCCCACACCCCCATAGTGCCTGGACCACACCAGCTCCCTGGTGGAGTCCTGTATCTCTGAGGCAGGGTGATGACCAATACATGATTCATACAAGAATCCAATATGTGATTGCCTGGGAGCTTGTGGCCAGGGTGGGAGACTGCTGCATTCCTGGCTGGCGCAGCCCCCAGGCTGGGAAGAATGCACAGGACACATCTTTGATAGACTTCATTTATTTATGTTTGACCCGGAGGTCTCACTCTGTAGCCCAGTCTGGAGTGCAGTGGCACCATCATCATAGCCTTGACCTCCTGGACTCAGGCGATCCTTCCTCCTCAGCCTCCTGAGTAGCTGGGACTACAGGCGTGCACCACCATATCTGGCTTATTTCTTGATTTTTTTTTTTTAATAGAAACAAGGTCTCCCTAGGTTGCCTAGGCTGGTCTTGAACTCCTGGACTCAAGCAATCCTCCCGCTTTGGCTTCCCAAAGTGCTGAGTTTACAGGTGTGAGCCGTTGCACCTGGTCACTTTTTTTTTTTTTTTTAAAGAAGTCTTAGCTTCACAGCGCAGTGGAGTGGAAGGGACAGAGAGTGCCTACAGCCTCCCACACTAGGGCAATGAATGTTATTTTGGATGAATCTGTGTGAACATATCATAGTTGCTCAGAGCCCATAGTCCACCCTAGGGTTCATTTTGCCACTTTTTCTTTCTGGGAATATACAGTATATGTTTCCTCCACTTAGACAGGTGTGGACCGGGAGTATCTAGACCTACATCCTTTCCTTCTCTGACTTCTGTCCTGACAATTCACCACCAGCTACTGTAACCGCATCACCTAAAAATGGGAGCACCCTCCTTGACTATAGTATTGTTACCTTGTTTAGAAAATTCAGCCAGTCACAGTTTCTCACGTCTGTCATCCTAGCACTTTGGGAGGCCAAGGCCAGAGGATTCCTTGAGCTCAGGCGTTCAAGACCAGCCCGGGAAACATAGACCTTCCATCTCTACCAAAATATGTATATATTTTTTGAGTTGGAGTCTCACTCTGTCGCCCAGGCTGGAGTGCAGTGGCACACTCATGGCCACCCCAGCGTCGACCTGCTGGGCTCTGGCGATCCTTCCACCTCAGCTTTCCAAGTATGCAGAAGTACAGGCACGCACTACCATGCCCAGCTAATTTTTGATTTATTGTAGAGACGAGGTCTCACCAAGTTGCCTGGGCTGGTCTTGAACCCACAGGCTCAGGTATCTCGCTCACCTCAGCCTCCCAGAGTACTGGGATTACAGGCTGAGCCACCGAGTCTGGTCATATTTTTTATTAAAAAAATGATCATCATTCTGTAATATCATCTAATCTCCAGCTCATATTCAGATTGCATGGGAAAATGTTTCTTTGTGTGTGTGGTTGACTAATAGTCATCTTTGGGCACAAATCTCTATTTTAGAACTTAAAACCAGCCGAATGTGGTGGTGTGGGCCTGTATTCTCAGCTATTGGGAGATGAAGGCAGGAGATGACCTGAGCCCAGGAGGCTGGGACTGTGGTGAGCTGTGATTGTGCCATTGCGCTCCAGCCTGGGCAACAGAGACTCTAAGAATAAGGAAAAAAAAAACAAAAAAAACTTAAAACCATTAAAAGGAAGTTTTAGTTACAAAAGTAATGTGTTGCTAAAAAAGGTTTAAAGGAGAAAGTAAGACCACCTGTCTTCCCGCTTGTGTCCTGTGCCGCTTGGAGGCTCCCACCTTCTTGGGGTGCTCCATCTCCAAGGCCCTGCCCATACCATGAGGCCCCGTGTATGTTGGGGAGGGTGGTCACAGCTAACACTCGCCCTGTGCCTCCAGCACCAGCAGCAGGTGGCGCAGGCGGTGGAACGCGCCAAGCAGGTCACCATGACGGAGCTGAATGCCATCATCGGGGTACGTGGACTCCCCAGTCTGCCTCTCACCGTGTGTATAGCCCTTTTTTTCCTCTCGTTGACCATAGCCAGATCTTGACCCTGACCCTAGCCGGTCTCAGAATGGCAGCCCCAGGGCCCTGGCTTCCACGAGTACCCCGTGGGTGTGGACCTGTTTGGGGCACTCTCCCTCTGGTGTCCCGATTGCCTCCCAGTCCCCAAGCTAAGGGGTGCCAGCCCTGCTCTGATCCATAGCCTTGTCCTCCCCTGGCTTTTAGGGTCCCTGCTGCTGAGGAGGGTGGAGGTCTGGGATCACCTTGGCGGTCAGGCACCTTCCCCCCCCCGCCTGGGGCCAGTCTGCCTTTGCCCCAGCAGAGGTCTGCCCTTCTTTGGCCACTTGGGGTCAGAATGGTCTCTGCTATCTGTCAGTGTGCACCATGCTGTGGACTGTGGGTGGGGGCTTGCTATGCTGTCCCATGCGCAAGCTGCCTGGCTGAGCGTTCACTGTGACTGTGATTCCAGCCAGGGCATCTGGACACAGTAAAATGTGCCCAGAGCACCCTGGGAGGCCCACTTCAGCCTGGCCCCTCCATAGAGGGGGAAGCCGGGTCTCTCCCCTCGGCAGTGCTACCTGGCTGCGTCTTGAGCATGTTTCTTAATTCAAATAGCATCTTTCTCCCGCTGGCTACTTTGGCATGAGGCCAGGGATATTTAAGATAAGCACCGGGGGAGAAGCAGTTTTCTCAGGGTGACCGGGCAAGGTTGTCACCCTCGGGTGTTTCTGTCCACCTTTTGTTCCCCGCTCCCCCGGGCGGATGGTGAGATCAGTACGGGATCACGGCGCCCCAGTCCACAGTCAGCTGGGTCAGTGCCCCCTGGGGAGCTTCCGGACAGTACAGACCATTCCAGGGTGCTCTGCCGCAGGCCTGGGAGTGTGACTGGAGATCTGTATTCCTGAAGTTTTCCAGATCATTCTGAAGTGTAGGTAGACTGTGACTATCACGAGCAGTGGACCAGTTGGGTGAGGTCCCGTCAGCCCGGACAGTCTGGGAACCTGGCTGGTTTTCATCCCTCTTTCTGCTCTTATGTGAGGTCATTATTTCAAGGCGAAACTTTAAGGCCCCAGAAATATCTCCTGCATGTGGGATAGATGATGATTCTGGACTTTTTCGTCTGGGTCAGAAACCTGGAGGTCTATGTTTTAGTCATGGTTTTTCTCCGTGTGACCATGGGCAAGCCCCCTTCTCTTCCTTGGACCTCAGTTTCTGTACCTGTAAAAGGAGAGGGTGGACCAGTTCCTCTCTCTGGGAGGCTGGAGTCAGCTCGACGGAACTGTGCTTACAGACATCCGCCCCTCTGTCCCGCCGTCAGGAGCCGTGATAGCGGCAGGGTCCCCGGGCAAAGCAACTCTGTGGGTCTCTCCTAGTCTGAGTCTATATGGAAGGTGCTCGATGCTGGGTGTGGGGGGGGCAGCATTAGGCTTTTTTGATTCCTGGCGGTGTTGGGAGAGGGGGGAGGAGACCCTCACTGTGTGGGAGAGGCAGAGAAGACTCTGGAAACTGGATCGTAAGGATGTGTCCAGGGTTGGAAGGCAGCACTGCCCCCTGCCCCCCCCCCCACGGACATCACAACACTTTAGAGAGCGAAGCATCTTCCGAGGCCATCCGGCGGACACGGAGGCTCTCACATCTGTAATCCTGGCACTTTGGGAGGTGAGGTAGGGGCTCACTTGAGCCCAGGAATTTAAGACCAGCCTGGGCAACAAAGTGAGACCCTGTGTCTACAAAAAATACAAAAATTAGCTGGATGTGGTGGTGCCTGCCTTATTCCCAGCTACTCGGGAGGCTGAGGTAGGATGATCACTTGAGCCCAGGAATTTGAGGCTGCAGTGAGCTGTGATCATGCCACTGCACTCCAGCCTGGGTGACAGTGAGACCCTGTCTCGAAATTTTAAAAAGAGGTCATCTAGCCTTGATCCTGTGAAAGTGTAGGGCCTTTGCTCCCCTGTGCAGTGTGGGCCGTTCAGCAGCATCCCTGGCCTGAACCCTGGAAGTCAGGGGCACCCTACCTGCTTGCAACACCCCAGAATGTCTCTAGACATGGCCAGATGTCTGTGTTGGGCACAGTGGCCCCCATCCAGCCCAGTACCCTTGTGTGACAGCAGGACCAGAGACGTCTAGTCGCAAAGCCAGGCCAGGCCAGCCCCTGCTCTCCCTGGCCCCTGAAGCCCTGGGGTGTGTCCTGTGTCCTGCCCTGGTGGTTCTGCTGATGGTGGCAGGGAATGCCCAGGTGGGCCGAGGCAAGGGAGCTTTGCTCCCTGAAGTTCCTCCTTCCCCAGCACCTGTCTCCACCCATTCCCGGCATGCTCTTGAGGTTTCCAGGCTGAGCCCACGACCCCAGCCCAGGCTGCAGTGGGCTCCCCCCTCCCTCTTTGGAATGAAAATCCTCTTATAAAAATAACTTTTTTTCCAAGTTTCAAGACAGGAGCAGGCCTGGGGGAGCCGGCTGCCGGGATTAGCGGCGCTTCCTTCAAGTCGTGCTTGGGAAGCCTCAAGTTAGGTCCGGGCAGCTCCAGGCAGACATTGGAATTCAATTAAGGCCGACGAGTGGGGCCTGTGACCCCCATTTTCAAGGTAATTGCTTCTCCGGCTCTGAGTGAATGCAGCCGGCGCCCTGTCATTAAGCAGGCAGCCTCTAATCGCCGTGCCTGACGGAGCCTCACAGGCAGGAATTAGGGAGGCCCGCTCTGCTGGGGAGCCGTGTCTGACTGCGCCTGGCGAGGCCGCGTCACTGCAGGGCGCATGAGCCCCTGGAAGGGCCAGAGGGCCGGCCACTCCAGAGAGCAAGGTGGAAGAGGCGGGCAGCGGCGCAGGGGAGGCGGGAAAAGGAGGTCCCAGGAGGCTCTCGGCAGCGGCTAGCGGTGGTCCCCGCAGTCCCCTTTGCCACTCCAGAAGGGGAAGCAGCCTCTCACTCTGGTGTGGAAGTTGAGCAGGTCGCGTGTTTCCTCCAGGCCTCAGTTTCCCCATCTGCCCCAGGTCACTGTCGAACGGCTTTCTCAGACAGAGTTGAAGGATTGTGAGGATATGGCTTGGCTCAAAAAGAAATCAGTTGATACCTCCAGTGCAGGCAGGGAGACAGCCATGGTGCATTCATCACAAGGATTGGAGGGCGCCTGGGGTCTTTCTTCCTGGTGAGGGAGGGTAGGGTCCAGAGTCTGGTGTGCGTGGGGAGGGAATGGAAGGACAGAGCCAGACAGCTTGCCCGCCAGGCCCACCCACACCCCCACCGATCCTCAGGGTGCTCAAGTGCCCACCCAGGTGGAAGGTGGTCTCTCTTCTGGACCTGGTGCTATAGATGCGTGTCTGTTCCCTGCTCTTCTTTCCTGGGTCACGTTGCTGGGGAGCCCTGGAAAGGACTACGTTCCTGTGTGTGAGGAGGACTTGAGCCTTGCTGGGCGGCTCCTGGATGGCCATGTCTCCTTCCCAGGCCGATTGAGGACCTGTGAGCTCATGTATCGGCCTTTCCCAGAACCCTCTGGGCTCCAGACTCGAAGCCCCTCTTGGAATGGGAAGTACAGGGGGATTTCTTCAACTTCTTCCACATTGTGGGTGGAGAGGTCCTGGTGCCAGAAGGAATGGAGGTGCTTGGAGTCAGGCGTCTGTAGACTGCAGAGACAATTCTTGTCTGCACCAAGGAGGTGCCCAGTTGAGAACAGTTTCTGCTTCCCACTTGGACATCACTGGGTCTTGGCACCTGTGTTCTGAAGCCAGGGGACGTGTTGTGGGGACAGAGTGCGCACGGCCTAGGGACACCTGTGCCTTGCCCGCCTGCCAGCAGAGGGTCAGGCTGTGACAGGGACGGCGGGCCAGGCGGGGCATTGCTCGCTGGGCCCTCCACCCCATCAGGGAGAAGCTTTGTTTGACTTTGTTGCAACCAAGACTCTTGCTGCTGGACCCTCTGGCCCCTGCCCTCCCCTGAGGAAGACGCCTCGAAGGGTGACTCTTCTGCCCTGCTGCCCAGAGTCTGCTGGGGGGTCCTGGCTGTGCCTTCAAACCACACAAGGACACCTCGGGAAACTTCTGGCTCTGTAGAGTGGCTTGCTCCGGCCCTAAGGTGGGAAGCTCTTCATTGTGTCTGGAAGCTTCTGCTGCTCCATTCTAGAGGATGCTCCCACTCGATGCCCCAAGGCAGGAAGTCACCCTCGATCTGGAAAGCGCCACTCTCGGCCACACAACTGCTGCTACCTTGGTTCCAAGTGTCTGCCACAGAGGCGGGGATGTGAGACACCCCCACGCCCTCGGATACCCCTGTCTCGGCTGCCTGTTTTGGCTGTACCTGATTGGGCCTTGGAGGGAGCCCTGGATCAGAGGCGGCTGGTCGTCTTTGGACGCTTTCCCAGCCTATCCACCCATGACCACCTTTTACAACATTTTCGCGGACTCACCCAGAAGATGTACTGAGCAGACATTCCAGGCACCATGGGTGGCACTGGTCAGCAGAAGGCACAGTCACCGCCCTGGAACTCAGTCGCCAAACTCTGCGTAAGAGGACAGATGTGGTTTTGTCTGTGATGCGTCTCGAGGGCTTGTTAACACGGATGGCGCCCAGAGTGTGATTTTACACGCAGTCACGCCTATGGTTTCTGCACAGCCCAAAGATGGACCCCTCTTGAGGCCCATTTGCTGTCGAGGACGCTGGAACTAGGGAGATCGGCTCACATGTCCAGGGACTCACAGTGGATGGAGGACAGGGCAGTCGGGCTGTGGCATCTGAGCCGTTAGTGACTCTAGAGGGGAGAACCCTGTTCTGACCCCGGGGGAGAGGAGGATGGCCAGAGGAGGGGGTATTGGGACCGGCAAGGTCAGGCCTAGAAGGTGGGTGAGGAGGAAGCCTTGCCTGGCCGTGGACGCTGGGGTGTTTGGAACCATTCAGTTCTGTCTGCCCGTGGGTACAAATCTCTAGTGCACATTTTCTCTAGAAGCAGGACTCATTCGTGAAAGGAGTCAGCCATGTCCGCGAGCGGTAAGGCGGCTTCTTTGAAGCCCCCCCTTCCTCTTCCTTGTCCCTTCCTCAAGGGATCTTCCTGGCTCTGTACAGCAAAACACAGATTAGCTGTCTCAGCCCTCGCTTCTGGGATTTTGCTAAATAGTTATCACTGGCAGCCCAGCCACCAGTCTAACACCAGAGTGAGACTTGCTTTAAAACTAGATGTCCAGATAAAGTGGAGGGGCCTGGCCACCCCGGGGGAATACTAGGTAGGCGTTAAAAAGGACAAACTAATTCCTCCAAGATGCTCTTCAGTGAAAACCAAGCTCTATGGCTGTGGGAGTCACAGGAGCCTGTCTGTGTAGAAATAGATTTCTAATGTGTACAGTTCCATAAAGGAAAATCCAGGCTGATTAACAGCAGAGTCTTCTGAGAGTGAAATTGGAGAGTAATTTTTTAAAAAAATCTTTAAAATCTATACTTGCTTTTAGTATTTGCTTGTGATGAGTATGTATTCATTTTGTAATGGGATATTAAAATTCCGTTTTCTTTAGGAAGAGAAGGCGGGCGCTGAGGGCATGTGTCTGTGGGGAGGAGCCCAGTTTCTTAGCCGGGAGAGGTTGGGTCTTGACTCGAGACACCTGTGATGTCGGCTCCAGGGCCCCCTTGGCTGTGTATGTGCGCTGTGATGACTCCTGGGGTCAGCGCCCACAAACTGCCTGGCATAGATGGCCCAGAGGTGCTCTGGTGACCGCTGTGCCAGCCTTTCACCCAGAACCGAAGAGGGGCCCTCTAGGGCCGTGGACTTGGTGGCTTAGCTGGGGACAAGCGGGGCCGTCACCCATGATGTCAGATACTCACTGCACCTCTAGCCACAGCTGTGGCCTCCCCTGTGTTCTGCTGTCCATTGTCAGTTTCCAGAAAGCCGTCTTCACGGACAGGCGGGCTCTCTTAGCGGGAGATCTTGAACTTGCCAGGTTTTTGCTCTGTGTCACCCCCACCAACGCCCCTTTCCTTGGGGATCTTGGGAATGTTCTTTTGATGAGGGTGGTAGTTGTCGGATGTGAGTGCAAATCCCACTTGCTGGTGGTGAGACTACATACGTTACCAGCCACCCACTCCAGCCCCTAACCTGATCAGTTTACCTCCTGTAAAACGGGCACAGATCATATTTGGAAAGTGCCCCGGGGTTCACTCGGGCGTTTGGCAGGTGTGTTTTGTGGTACCAGCATACCCAAGGCCAGTGGTTCCTGAGGGATATCATGAAGTAATAGGTGGCACTGCGTAGCCTGTCCGCAGTGCCCATGGTTCTGGGCACAACCTTAGGGGTGATGAGGGACACTCTCATGGCTGCTGGGAGGATGCTAGGGAGGCCTGAGCCAGCCCCTTGGGTCGGGAAAGATGGGAAAGGTGATGCCCCCAAGGCGAGTGTAGGGTAGGGATGTCTGGGGTCTGCAGGTGCCAAGTCCTGATTGGGAGGAGACTGGAGAATTGCTAGCGTTGCTGTTGGTGGTGATACTGAGTTGATGCACACCGGGCTTTTGGCGGTTTTTTTTCATCAAGTAGGAGTCTCCCTCTGTCACCCAGGCTGGAGTGCAGTGGCATGCTCATGACCTCCACAGCCCTGACCTGCTGGGCTCAGGGAACCTCCTGCCTCAACCTCCCAAGTAGCTGGGAATACAGGTGTGTGCCACCATGCCCAGCTAATTTATTGTAGAGATGAGGTCTCGCCAAGTTGCCCAGGCTGGTCTCGAACCTCTGGACTCAGGCGATCCTCTCGCTTTGGCCTCCCAAAGTACTGAAGTGACAGGCATGACCACCGCGTAGGGCGAATGTCAGGTTTTAGAGCAGTTGGGAGTCATTGTAAACTGTTGTGTCAGCTGTTGCCATGACATTTCATGGGTAGCTGCCGGGTATCCTGTGCTGCTTCATACGTCATCTTACATGCATCCTCTGAGGTCGTGCTACATAGCTCCTTTGACAGATAAGATTTGAGGCCCGGGGGGCTGACGTCACCTGCCCAGGCCATCAGCCAGGAAACGCCAGAGTTGAGGCTTGAGTCCTGGTCCCCTCCCTTCCTGGGGGGCTCCTCTCTCTCTACTCTGATGTCCAGTGACCTCAGCTTTCAGTCCACCGGCCCCCACGAATCTTGTTGTTGGGATTTTCCTGCAGTGGCCTCCCTCCCTCAATGGTCTCCCAGCCTCAGCTCTGCAAGACCGGCTTGGAGTTCTCAGCCTTAGGGGCTCTGCCCCGGGACATGGCCCGGGGGCGGGAGAGGTTGGTGGTGGCTGATGCGCAGGCGCGTTTGCGCTTGCCGGGGTCTCCGCACCTGAGAGGGGCCCCCGACTGGTTGTCGGTGCTTGCTCTCTGCATCTCGGGCTGGGAGCGCCTTGAGCAGCTGCGTGCAGGAACTGGGGCGTTGGGTGGGCGGGGCTTGGAGACATGACTCTCGACATCCATCTGCAGACCTTCGGCAGGTGCCGTGTGTGGACGGCAGGGGTACGGCTCTGGGAGGGGTCGGGCATGGCCGCCCCCGCCCGCTCACCCCCACCTCCATTGCAGCAGCAGCAGCTCCAGGCACAGCACCTCTCCCACGCCACGCACGGCCCCCCAGTGCAGCTGCCGCCCCACCCGTCAGGCCTCCAGCCTCCAGGGATCCCCCCGGTGACGGGGAGCAGCTCGGGGCTGCTGGCGCTGGGCGCCCTGGGCAGCCAGGCCCACCTGACAGTGAAGGACGAGAAGAACCACCACGAACTCGACCACCGAGGTACCGCCCTGGCAGGGCATGAGTGGGCGGGGCAGAAGGCAGGGTGGGGGGTGAGGGGCCTGGGCAGGGTGGGGCACGAGTGGGGGGGTGGAGGGTGGGCAGGGTGTGGGTGGGCAGGGCAGAAGGCA